AAGGAATTAGTTCTAAAGTATGTAATTTATTTGTCAGAATTGTTAGCATTCTCAAATCAGAAAGCGAGTTTATATTGGTACTATTTTGAAGAGAATCGTAGCAAATCAAAGTGCAAGATTTACCCTTTACCTCATTCTCTCCTTACTCCTCTCCGTTTCGGTGTCTTCGGTAGTGCAGTTTTCAAATTTATGCTCGCAAATATGCCTGTTAGGGCAAAATGGCGTTATGATTGTGCAACAAGAAAAGGAGTAGAGCAGATGGGAGGGAGGAGAAGGAGAGCAAAATGTAAATCAACACAAGTCGCGCTTGATCCTGATAAGCAGAGAAAAAACTTAGATAATTGAGTCATTTAAGCCAGTACCTTCTTCGTACGCTATTGGTATGACTTCTCGGCTACTGCCAGCACTAGCAGCACCGTATACGGTTGCGTGAGTGTTCATTAGTTGTTGTTGGTCGGTGTCGACTTGAATTCCTTGGAATGTCCGCTTTAGTTTTCCGAGGATTCCAGCTTTCCGGCGTGGTACGATGTACTCCCTCTGTGGACTCAGTCGGACAAAGATCTAAAGTTTTCAAACCTTAATTTAACCAGCTCCAGATGAAGCAACGCAAATCATGACGTTATGTTGCTGTTAAGAAAAAGACATCGGAAAACTCTCTTAAGAGTGGAAAACAATGCTAAGAAAGAGCTAGAAATATTTTCAGTTCGGTTAAAAAGAATTCTTTTTGCTGATCAAAAAAATCCTTCTATTTTCTCTTTAAGCACATTGTTTTTCTTTTTTCTCCTTCGTTTCCCTTCAAACTTCCTTCCACCTTCAATCCTTCTTCCTCCTACCTCTTGCAAAGTTGGAGCAGATATCCCGTATTCGCCAAGGAGATAGGAATCCCTCTTAGAATCAAAAGATGTGAAGAACTTCTCCAATTTATGTGAGTCCGTCGTGATTGGAACACTAGAGATAAAATTCTCTAATGATAGCACTATGGATCCGTTCAAGGGCAAACTGCGCCATAAACTCACGAAAACACCAACTCCTCCTCGGTTTGATCAGTCAGTCGAATAGGAATCATTGCCTCAGTGGTGATCCGCGTAATGATCGATGTATAATCCATGGAACGCTCCTGCAATAGTCTAAGATTTTGAAAGAAATAATTCCTATTGAAATCTTACCTTTTTACAGGCGAAAATTTGAAATGCCTCCCCAAATTTGTTTTTGAGAAAAACCGAACTTCCCAAAGAGATGAGGCGACCTTCAGAGAGAATCGCTATCCTATCAGAAAGAATGTCCGCCTCATCCATGTGATGAGTTGAGAGGAGTATTGTGCGACCTATGAGTGATATGAATTATTTTTGAATTATCGGAATTAAATTTAGACTTTCATAGAATTGAAGCAGG